CTACTACGACTACTACTACGACTACTACTACTACTACTACTACTACTACTACTACTACTACTACTACTACTACTACTACTACTACTACTACAACTATTACTACTACTACCACTACTACTCCTACCCCTTTTCCTCCTCCTCCTCCTCCAGATCCAACTCTTCCTCCTCCTCCAACGCGCTTACCTCGTCCTCCCTCCCTCCTTCCCTCCCCTCCCACCACGTGATGGCAGAATCCCTAGAATCCTTCCTCCCCAGCCCTCCCTCCCCTCCGCGCCCTCCTCCGCCTCCTCCCTCCCTCCCTCCCTCCCTCCCTCCCTCGCTTCCTCCTCTCCGCGGCCGCATGTGCGGAGCGGCGAGGCGGCCTGAAGGCCTCCTGCAGCACCGTGGGGATGGCCTGCGGCGGCGGCCAGGGGGGCGCAGAGAGACCCACCGAGTGCCCGCCCTGTCGTGAGGCCCCGCCCTCTGGTCGTGAGGCCACCAGGCTGAAGATGTTCCAACCTACCTGAGCCCTGATCACCAGAAAGAATTTCGAGCACCAAGAAATTACCGAAACTGGAGTGTTTTCACGTGTCGGACCGGAAGAGGTGCGCTCTCGACCCGCGGATCCAAAAAGTTTTCACGTGTCGGGCCATGGGAGGCGATACTCGTTCAACACTGTTTCGAAATTTTTCTGAGTGCTCGAAATCATTTCTTTGATATGGTCCTCAAGTACGATGGGAGCAACATCAGACCAGGCGCGAAGAGCGTTCATCTTCCCCGAGGCCGTCCAGGGCCTGGGCGACGGCACGACCGCAGGCCGAACCGAAGTGCGACAGCGGAGCCGAAACCGACAGGCCGCCATGCAGCCCGGGAGGGAGGCGGCGCGGCAGCGCAGCGGCGCAGCGGCAGCACAACGACCGACCGCACCGAACTGACCGAACACAAGGGGAGGGCGAAGCGAACAGCCCGGCCGAACCGCGGACACTCGTGGGCGGGAAGCACATACTAAAGGGGCCCTGGGACACACAAATAAATACACACAAATCAAAGGATTCCCCATATTTTCCCATGTTTTCTAGGTTTCTGTCTTCCCCCCCACTTCCCATATTTTCCTTATATTTTCTGGGGAATCGACGATTCATTGTGTCTGTGTGCTTTTTCCCCTCCTGACATACGTATTCACGGCCTCGCAGGGCGGGCCCCTGGGCCGCGACCCGATGGATCTGGTGTGATGTGTCGCGGAAGCCCCGCGCGGAATCTATCCGTGCGACCGCGTATCCGCGGGATCGCGCCCCAAAATCCAGACTGCGAGAGCAGGAGCACGGCAGGTTCGCGTCGTGTCGACGCCGGCGTTGGCTCCATATCGCCCGGTTCCGGGTCGCCGCCGGCGTTCCACGTTGAAGGCCGGCGTCGGGGTCGCCGCCGGTCGACACGACGCGACCCTACCGTATGGAGATGGTCGCCGCTCGTGAAGCGCCCTCTTTCCGCCCCTGTGCGGCTGAGCTGGCCCGCCCCAGCACAGAGCCGCGTGGCTGACTCACGAGGGGAGGCAGAGGTGTATCGTGGCGGCAACGGGCCCCTGGGGCGGCCGGTGCTGTCCTCTCCCCAGGCACAGCGCCTCGGCCCGAGTCGCTTTCCCATGGGGGGTTCGCGGCAGGGTCCATCACCGCACCGTTTCGGGGCCCTGGAGGCCCCCACCGCCCGAGACAGCCTCGGCCCACATATATTGCAAGGTGGCCCCAGGGGACCGTCCCTTGGCTCTGCCGGAAGCCGTTGCGGGCCAGTCCAAGAGTTGAAACGCACACGGTTGTTGCATGACGTTCGCATGCTCACAGCTTCGATCTCAAGAGCGTCCAGGACAGCCCAAGAGGCTCCCAATGCCCAATAGAGCCGAGCACCGAGGGCTCCACGAGGGGCCACAGGAGGGAGACCTCGGATTGCCATTTCGAGCCCTCCAGCCCAACATGGCCCCCAAGACAGCCAACAGGCCCCCAAGAGGCGCACAAGAGGCTCCAAAAGGCCCCCGGGAGGCTGAAGATGCTCCCAAGAGACCACCGAGAGGCCCCCAAGGGGCTCCCGAGAGGCCCCAAGAGGCATCGACCCAGGCAATGCGAGACAGCAGCGGGGCAGCTATGAACTAGGCAAAATGAAGAGGCTGAGCGGGAAGCGAAAGATCCCATGCAAGCACGGAATGGTATGCATGACGATCCACCTGTCCTAGCCTGAGACTCACGCTCGGGCCTAAGCTCAGACTGGGACTCCACCATGGACCCGGGCTCAGACTCGGCCAGTCTCTGCGCAGGCTCCCAAGGTTTTGGCAGACGGCGCTTCTCGATCCCCGGCCTCAGGGGTAAGCAAGACGTCCGCCGCTCTCCCTACCTCCGCCTACTCACGCCCCACCCGACGTCGCCGTCCCTCACACTACACCCTGCGAAATGCTTAAGAAATCATGGGTTAAGAAATTCATAGTCTCAGAACTTGAATAAAAACCCAATATTTCTATGAAAATCTTAGGATTTACATTGAAACGTTAAGAATAATCGAGACTCTGGCCGAAAACTTGGGTTTTCTTAAGCATCGCCTAAGGTGTACCTCTCTCCTCAGCCTGTCGCCTGCCTGTTCTGCTCCTGTGGCGAACACCGAGGATCTGGCGGCCCGAGCGACGCAGATCGAGCAGCTCAGACCCCTCCCCCAAGCCCTCTGACGCTGGGGAACCATGATGGGCCTGTTTTCCACTACCACTACCATAAGTTAGAGGGAGAAGGAGGAGGAGGAGGAGGAGGAGGAGAGGAGGGAGAAGGAGGAGGAGGACCCCCATCCCCCCCCTCCTACTTATGGTAGTGGTAGTGGAAAACAGGCCCATCAAACCATGTGACCTCGCCCACGAGAGCCTCTGGGGCGCCTCGCAAGACACGCAATGCTGGCCCCGCAGTGGCAAAGGGCGCGGTTTGCAACCCGCACCCTTGGGGGCGGGCGAGGACCTTGACAGAGTTCTCCGCCGTGCCCCGAGGATGTCCGACGAGAGCAACGTGGTGCTCCCCAAGCCCCAGCGACGCAGATCGCAAACCACACCCTGGCGTAACCACACCATCTGTAGTCGCCGAGCTTGGATGCCAACGAATCCCTGTCAACTTCGCACGCCCCGGGCGACCTGGCCCTGACGAGCAGCGCGTGCTCTCGCCATCTCTTGCACGTGACAAGCACAAGCGAAGAGCACTGGGGAGCAGGCCTCCTGCAACGGTGGCAGAAGTATTTTCCGACTGCCATTGCTTGCCTCGACGCCCGGCCGCTATGGCTCCCATAGAGAAACTATTGTACGTGAGCACGGATGAACATGAATGTGCGCAATCCGATCTGCAACTGAGAATACACTCCAACTCCACCTGCTTGTCTTCAATGTGTCCTGGGCCTCTACGTATTCGAACACTCCGACCACCACATATTCTACCTCCATTTAGCTTACTACTCATACCCCGATTCCTCCTCGCGCCACTCATGATACCCCCATTTACTGATACCCGTGATACTGGGACGACGAAGACCACCACGACTGCTCTGGCTGTGCTACAACTTCAAGACATGTTGAAACCACGACCACTATAACAACTACCGACATTGTCACTACAAGCATCCTCGAGTCACGACAAAGTGTGACGCCATTGCAGCGCTGTGCGCGCAGCAGCAAATCAAGAAACGTGCGATGACGTTGGTTGAAGCAGGTGGTCCAGCAGGGCCGGCCCGGGGAATCATCTGCTCGAGAGGGGCACTTTGACGTCCAAGGGCCCCGAGAGGGGCCGAGGGCACCAGGTCCTCCTCCTCTTCCTCCTCCTCCTCCTCCTCCTCCCCCTCCCCCTCCTCCTCCTCCTCCTCCTCCTCCTCCTCCTCCTCCTCGTCTTCATCCGCATGCCCTTGCTTTTGGCACGCGAGATGGATACAGGAAAAATCGCACGATACCCAACAGCACATGTTGCCCAACATCGGCAGCGGCCGCTGTTGAGCAGGCGACTCTCGTCCCAAATGGACGGCACCCGCGGCGACTCCGACTGCAAGTCATGTTCAAAATAGGCATGAACTGCCGCTCGCCTCAGTCCCCATTATTTTCGTCCCGTTTCGGCCCTTCTGATCCTCCTGATGATTTTCCTTCTGATCCTCATCCTCCTGCTCCTGCTTTTCCTCCTCCTCCTCCTCCTCCTCCTCCTCCTCCTCTCCTCGCCTCCTCCGCCTCCTCTTCCTCCTCCTCTCCTAGCGTTACAATAACCATTTTGTTCACAGACATTTTGGGCGCTGAGCTGGCGCGGGCGCTCGCTCCGGGGCGGCTGGCACTGTGGCCCCCCTGGCGCCGCCCCCCGGAGACCGCCCTGGACTCCATCCGGACGCCTGCTGCGGTCGGCGGAGCCAAGGCGCGGCCCAGAGGCGGTCGAGCAGGCCATGGCACCGGACCCCGTGACGCCCAGCACCCCACCGGAGGCCCCTGCCGCGGCCCCGTGCGACGGGGTGGAGCGCGTCCTGGGCCGTCGTGCAGCGAGGCGAGCGGCTCCTCGGTGCGTCACGCGAGGTCGTCGCCGTGGGGGGGCTCGGCAAGAAGACCTACGAAGGGCATCAAGACGCTCCGCAAGACGGGCAAAGCTCCCCAACGCGCCGGCCAGGCGCACCCGGGGCTGGATTGCCGCTTCCAGCATCCGCACAAATCCCTAAGCTTCCTCGGAGATCGCGGATGAGTTCGAGCGCTGGTTCCGAGGTGACGCGGCCAGCGCGGTGATCGCAGCGCATCGGACGGAGGCCAAGCGCCACGGAGGCTGGACCGGCGGTCTGTTCTTCTGGCGTTTCTAGCGCGCAGAACTTCCACAATCGGCAGCCCTGCGTGCCCAGCGTGCACGAGGATGACCCGCAATAGAATGTGCTGGCGGGCAAACCCATGGGCACGGCGCCCCAGACGGCCTCGAGGGGAAGCGGCTTCACCCAGCATCGAGGCGGCCGCTGGCGGCTGCGTGGCCCCCCTTTTTGGGCCTTGTCCCCAGTGGCCCGGATGGCCTTTGGTTTGCCGTCGTCCCCCGCGGGGTGCTTCGGTCCCGCCTGGACTGCCCGCGGGGTAGTCCAGGCTGGGATCAATGCCTGTCGGGGCTGCTTCGGGGTCCCCTCGTCGCCTGGGCGCCTGGTCCGGCTCTGCCGCGTGCGGCGGCGGCGTGACATTCTGAGCTAGAACCTTCTGGAGGCCCGCGGGGTCGTCTCCCTGCGGACGGCACCGCGGGCTTCCTTTGAGGCTGCCCCATCCATCTTCCTCCTAGCGTCCGCAGTTTGCCTCCGCCCCCGTCCCGCTTTTCCTCCTCCTCCTCCTCCTCCTCCTCCTCCTCCTCCTCCTCCTCCTCCTCCTCCTCCTCCTCCTCCTCCTAACGTCGGAGTTTGCCTCCGCCCCCGTCCCCCAACCCCGCCACGTGGTTGCCCGTCTCTCCGAGCAGCATGAGCATGATGCAGCAGCCGAGGGCGTACCAGTCCTGTGGGCCCACGCGGAGGGAAGAGGGTGCACCCTCCGCTTCGGGGGAGCGGGGGAGCACGGGAGGAGAGCGAGAAGAAGAGGAAAAAACATTGGCATGAGCATAAACTGTCGGAGGTCCGCGCGGATTTCTTGGATCGGTACCGGGCCCGCCTCCCTGGCGCGCGGAGCGCGCCAGGAGTGGCGCCAAAGGTTCCGCCAAGAGGATCCAGCGCCACTGAAAGTTTACGTGTGTGCTGGTATGCCTTCTTCGAGGAGGAAAGAGGAGGGGGCAGGGGGCAAAAGTTTCAGAGGACCTCACTGGCTCTACAAGGTTCCACAGGGCTGAAGAGGACGCTCTGAGAGGGACTGAGCCGTCCTCCTCCGCATCCTCCCTTCCTCCCTCGATTCCACTCCTCCATCCTCGCTCTTTCCGCCCTCCCCACTACGTATGACCAAGAAGCGTCATACATCAACATGTGGCTCTCGCCCTGGCGACGCTTACATTCGCCTTCAACGATCTCAGAGCTACATGTTGGAGGGCGGGTGATTTTCAACACGCGGCTTTCGCCCGAGCACCTGAACACCTTCGTCTCAAAACACGGATGCAGGGCAGCTCCTTTTTGCCAAGTGGGGCTCTCGTTTAATGCTTCCTCGATATGTATGCCCTCAGTGCGTGAACATGTGCAGCAGCTACACGCATGGAGGGCAGCTCCTTTTCAGAAATGGGCTCTCGCTTGACAGTTCCTTGAACCGCATGGCTAGAAGTGCCGCGTGGCGGCCTCTTTTCGGGGCTCTCACTGACTTTTATGATACTACGTTTAGATCGGGTGTGTCCTCCTACAGGCGGATTTTGGGCATCTTCAAAAAATACCCAAACCTAGCCAAAAATAATCAACAAATCCTCCCCCGACTGGTTTTTGACTGTTTCTGAGTATTCCTCCTGTAGGGGGACAGGCCCGACTTACTGCTAGAAAGACGAGAGGCGGCTCCTTTTCGAAACAGGGCGGGCTCCCGCCTGCATTGCAGGCACCCGGGGCGCTCGCCTGTCCTTTCAAGCAGAAGCTTCCCGCAGCCTGCTATTGGAGGATATGTTGCAGCATCGTTGACGCATCCTGGGCTTACTCTCAGGTCGGACATGTCCTCCTACAGGCGAATTTTGAACGAACAAATATACACATATATATATATATATATATATATATATATATATATATTCAAAAAACACTCCTAAATAGTCAAAAAATACTCGATGAATCGTCCCCAGACTATTCTTCTTACTATTTTTGAATGCTCCTCCTGTAGAGAGAAATGCCCGACTTAAGCTTACTCCCGTCATCCTCCTCTTCCTCCCGGGGCAGCTGCGTCACCTGACCTCGCGCTGCGCATATGCCCAAAGCGCGAGTCGCGGCTCCCTTCACGCTCTCGCGCCGCCTCCCTGGGGATAAACAACTCTCCGGTCCAGATCGCGAAGCGTGATTAGCGTCGCGCCCCCTGCGGGTGATCTGGGTGCAAGGGAGGGGAGAGGAGGGAGGCAGAGGAAAGATGCACTGAGGGGATAGAGGCAGGGGAGAGGAGGGGGGCAGGAGGAAGAAGACAATATAAATAAAGAAGAGAGGTACAGAATCATCGACAGGATGTGGATGCATACATACACAAAAAGAAAGGCAGAGAAAAAAGCGAGCGAGCGAGAGAGAGAGAGAGAGAGAGAACGATGAGAAGGAAAAACTAAAACAACCCGAGCGCGAGAGAGAGAGGATGAGAGGCGCGCGCTCACGCGCCAAGCCCCCCCACCCGCACCCACCCCCCGTCCTGCCCTCTCCCTCCCTGGCCGCCGCCCGCACGGCGCATGCCCGGGCTCCAAACAAAGCTCGGCCCCGGGCCCCTCGGCAAGTGGATGCGGAGTGAAGGGCGGCGCGCGTGCATCGCTGCCAAGGGCGCTCGCTTCCACCGCGCGCGCTCGCCTACATGCCGCACGTGACCCCGCGTGCACCTGCAGCCTGCGTGCGTGTCGCGAGCCCCTTCCCAGACACCCGTCCCCACGAACAAACCGTGTGATTTGGGTGTCTGAAGGCCCGCTTCGGGCCGCTGGACCATGAAAGAACGACCCAGGACGGACAACACTATGCCAGTAGTAAGGTCGAGAGCTCCGTAGGGGCCATGCAACGAGAAATTCATGACAACGGAGCTCTAGTCGTCTGGTGGTTCGCTCTGCGACCACTGAGGCTCGACCCACCCACCCAAGCTCATCATCCCCACGCTCCATGATCCACCCTCTCTCCCTCGCCCTCCAATCCGCCCCCCATTTCCACGTATTGCCTCTTTGCTCCTCTCTCCCTGAGCCCTGAGCTATCTGTACTACGCCTGCCCTGCCACAAGCGGCGGTGCACAAAAGATCTCCCTGGCAAGCAGCCGGTTGACTCTGACCTCGCGAGGCAGAGCGGTACGGGTCACACGGGATCCGCTTCGCGGTGGCCATGAGACCCTAGCAATCACAAGCCCCTGCTCTGGCTCCCTCCACCTCGACGCGCAGAGTCGACGCCCGGCGCTCCACTCTCAAACCCTGAGGCCCTGAGGCCCCCTCTCCTGGGTACGAATGCTCTGGGGTACGTTTTGACGAACCAACAGCACACACCCATACCCATAGGGGGGTCGGAGAGGGCCACGGGTACGTGTGGTCGGATGGGGGTCCCCGCTCGAACGGGAGCGTTCCCCAGGGTCCGACAACCCGCACCCATACCCATAGCGAGTCCTCCTCCCAACGACCGCCCCTATGGGTACGGAGGTGTGTGTTGTTCGTTCGTCACGTTTGGGCTCCCCTGATAACATGCCTGCCTCCGTTCGGGAGGCCGTGCACACACTTCCGCGCCCGGGGGCCCGAGCTCGCGGCCCGCGATGTCTGCGAGCAGGCCTCGTCCTGCGATGTAACCCAACCCCGGACGACTTCGCGCCTGGCGGCCCCGGAAGGCCTCCAAAGG